CTGATCCTCAGGGCCCTCCCAGGGAAGGGGGAGGAACAATACTTCACACCAGAGCGTTGTAAACACAAAGCAAAGCAAAAGTGGGGAAGGAGTGCTTCCTAAACCAAGCACTGAGCACGTATGCGTTAGCTAAGGTTCGGGATTTCTGCATGTTCGGTTCCGGCGGATAATAAAAATTGGCCAAGATTAGAGCAATTCTTCAAAAAGAAATGTATTTGGGAAGATCCAGGACAGCCAAGGAATGGGAGCACCTTAAGCTCACTGCTTCTTTCTGTCGTTCATTTATCTCTCCATCCCGCCCATCCTCGGGGCATACGTGGCAGGACCCCCGATGAACACCCCAAACCGCAGACAGCACTGAACCCTACACATACTATGTTTTTTCCCTATACACACATACCTTCGATAAAGTTAAGTTCATAAATCAGGCACAGAAATGAACAACAAATACCTAATACTGAAATAGAACAGTTACAACAATGTACTGTGCTAAGTTATGTGAATGTGGTCTCTCTCAAAGTACCCGACTGATCCGCCCTCACGCTTCTTCCTGTGATGAGGTGAGAGGATACAATGGGTACGTGATGAGATGAAATGAGGGGAAAGACGTTGGCGTGTGATGTAGACTCAGGCTGCCACCAACCTTCTGGTGAAACAGTCTGGTGGCGATCTTGGAGAGGTAAGCAGATCGTTATAATGTCTCTTAGTAACAGAGATCATGGGGTAAAACACAGAAGGTGGAGGAGAGCACAGGAAAAAAGCTCTGTATCAGCCAGCTACTGCTGCCAAACAAGCATCCCTCGAGGCACACGGCACTAGCTGGAGCAGATCTGCTTCCAGCCGCAGGACTACAAGGGCCCGAAGTGACTCTGTTCCACGTGACTTCCACACGTGCAGTTACCCAGGGCGTGTTTTTCACAGCCATGCTGGAAAGCCTTGCCATCTCTCAGAGGAATTTTAGATTATAAGACATATTAAAGGAGTGCAGGTTATTTTCTCTTTCAAGTGCACGCAGTGGAAATAAACAGCAAGGCACTGCCGAGTGGGAGCTGGTTCAGGCCTGCTGGATCCATAATAACCTATTTACGTGTCACGGATCTGCCCCACTTCACCAGCTTAAAGTACAAAAATGAGGTCATAGTCCTTTTTAATATTCAAATTAAATTACTCCGGGAGCAAAAATTGGTTCAACCTTTTTGGAGGGCAACTGGATAATGCCTCCCCAAATTTTAAGTGTGCTTCCCTTTGAACTTGGGGATCCTACTTCCAGGAATCCGTTCTACAGAAATCCTTGCACAAATACAAAAATATCTCCGTGTTTGTTAAAATGTGTATGGTTGCAGCACTGTAGGGAAGAGCCACAGAAGAAATAGAAGCAACTCAACTGACAATTAACAGAGGACTGGATGAAAAGTACGAGGCGGGGACAGATGTTCGCGTTTCAGAAACCATCCAAGACAACCGTCTAACGATAACGCAAAGTTGCCGGACCACACAGACAACACAGCGATATGTAAATCTAAAAATACACTGCCTAGGGGTGCCGGGGTGGCTCAGTCAGTTGAGCGTCAGACTCCTGATTTTGGCTCAGATCATGATGATCCCAAGGCCGTGGGATCAAGCCCCACATCAGGCTCTGCGCTGAGCATGGAACCTGCTTAAGACTCTCTCTCCCAGGGCACTTAGGCTCAGTAGGCTGAGCGTCTGACTTTGGCTCAGGTCATGATCTCGCAGTTGGTGAGCTTGAGCCAAGCATCAGGCTCTCTGCTGTCAGCACCAAGCCTGCTTCAGGTTCTCTCTCTGTCCCCCTTTCTCTGCCCCTCCCCTGCTTGTGCTCACTCCCTCCCTATCACTTTCAAATTAAAAAAGTATTTTTAAATACACTACCTATGTCTATGTATACCTACAGATATATCTACGTGTTTATCCAAACCTGTATCCACACACATACGTATGTCTCTATGTGTATATCTTATCTACAGGTGCATCTGTCTGTACCTGTATCTGTCTGTGACGGTATCTATATCCAAATCAGTTAATAGTCAAGAAAGGAAATAGCAACAGACAAGGTGAAGGGCACCTCCACCTTTTTTTAAGTTTATTTATTTATTTTGAGAGAGAGAGAGCCCGTGCGCATGCATGCGCATAAGTGGGGGAGGGGCAGCGGAGAGAGAGAATCCCAAGCAGGCTCTGCTCTGTCAGCACGCAGCCCAACGCGGGGCTCGAACCCACAAACTGTGAGATCATGACCTGAGCTGGAACCAAGAGTCGGACACTCAACCGACTGGGCCACCCAGGCGCATCTTGACTCCAAATGTTTCCACGTTGTTGTTTTCATATACTTGGATAACAGTGACGTAGTTTTCAAAATTCAAATAAGCCTGTGCCCCAGCGTCTCTCAGCCACAATTGCACCAAGGACGTCAGTCCTGGCATGCATCCCAGGAGAGAGAGAACTGGGGACAGGGGAGCATAGGGTGGAGGGATCTCACACTGCCCAGCAGCCCCGTGCCCTGCCGCTCTGTCTCCTCCAGGAAGACACTGATCATAGCCGTGCAGGGATCGGAACACAGAGCTACCTTTTCCGCACACGGGAGGTTGTGAACGGCGTCTTTCCACCACACAGCGTGCACACACACGCACATGCACACACACGCGTGCACGTGAGCATACTACTATCAAGGCCTGTCTCAGAAGCAGACTCTGAGAAGAAAATTCTGGTGCAGGTTGCTCATCTGGGACATGATCCCAGGAAAACACAGGGAGGAGACAGGAAAAGAAGGACAGAGGTCAATACAGGACACGCCTGTCAACAGGTCTTGCTCTGGGCAAGTGGGCCTCAGCCCACACCACAGCAGGGGGCTCTTGGGGAAGCAGAGCATCCCTCCAGGGTACTTGTCCACCAATTCCTGTCCGCCCCTCCTGGAAGGAGGTTCCGTGGGGGCAGGAGTGTGTGGAACTCCCCTACTGGTCTCCTGTGGCCACGGCAAGGAAGCACCACAAACCGGGGACTTCAACCACAGACATCTACTGTCTTCCAATCTGGATGCTGGAAGTGTGAGCTCAAGGTGAGGACAGGGCTGGGTCCTTCTGAGGCCGGGAGGGGGATCTGCTCTGGGTGTCTGTCCCGGCCTCGCGGGCTTGCTGGCATCTTTTGCGTCCCTTGGCCGGTGGGGGCATCATCCTGATCTCTGCCTCCTGGTTCAAACAGCATTTTTCCTGTCCGCCTCTGTGTCCAGATAACTGCCCCCCTCCTTTTTTTAATGTTTATTTATTTTTGAGCACAAGTGGGGGAGAGGCAGAGAGAGGGAGACACAGAATCTGAAGCAGGCTCCAGGCTCTGAGCTGCCAGCACAGAGCCCGACGCGGGGCTCGAACCCTTGAACCGTGAGATCTTGACCTGAGCCAAAGTTGGGCGCTTGACCAACTGAGCCACCCAGGCGACCCCAGACTTCCCCCTTTTATAAGGACACAGTCATACGGGGTTAGGGCCCGCCCCAGTGACCTCACCTTAGCTTGATATCTGCAAAGTGCCTATTTCCTGGGGGTTAGGACTTCAACATCTTTGTGGGGGACACAAGTCAACTCCACATGACCCCCCACACTTCCAGCCGCACCCGGGCCAGTGAGGGAAACCCTGCACAGAGTCTAGGGTGTCACAGGTACTCACAGATGGCAGACCCCGGGGCCAGGGGGACGTGGGCAGGACACCAACACGTCTGCCACAGCCTCTGAGCTCATGAGCCGTCTCCGGGCTGCACTTCCAGTGCAGAGCAAATCGGGTGAAAGCCGAAAAGGCCGGCAGCGATCCCTCAAGCATGACTAAAAGATGCAGCGTGGGGCCTGAAAACCAGGACCCGAGTGCTCGTTGGGCACGGCTCCGGCCGGCTCGGCTGCCAGCTCAGTTATCGGTTTCGATGAGCTGCCTAATAATGGCAAGTGCCTCCAAATGGCCCTCCAGATCATTTCATTAAAAGCTGTGGCGACGTCTACAGCTGAACCCAAGTGGTGCTGGGAAGGCCATCAGGTTAATCAAAACACGAGGACAGCTCTCAATGCCTCTTAATTAACAAATTAGGTCCTGCTGCCGACTCAGCAAAAGCGAGACTGGGCCGCTGACTCTTGGGACATTTGGATTGCTCAGCCCTCGCTCTCCTCAATCTCTGACAGCCCACTGGAACTTAGGGGCAGCCGCAGTGGGGGGCGGGGGGCATTCTCACTGCAAGCAAATCAAGAGAGTTCCAGAACCGCTGGTTTCCCACCAAAATATCTGCATCCCCTAACACCTGTTCTCCTGTCTTCCCTGTGCTGACGTGCAAGTTCCGTGGGGGACCCTCCCCACCCTAGGGTGTCTAGGACCAAGGGACACTCCTCGCGGGGCTCAAATGGAGTGTCCCGGGACACTCCAGCCACCTGAAAGCAAGGACTTGGTCTGTTTTGTTCAGAGCCGTTTCCCTAGAGCTGCAGTGCCCCTAAATAAATATTAAGTGAGGGGCGCCTGGGTGGCTCGGTGGGTTAAGCATCCAACTTCGGCTCAGGGCATGATCTCGCAGTCGGTGAGTTGGAGCCCCACCTCAGGCTCTGTGCTGACAGCTCAGAGCCCGGAGCCTGCATTGGGTTCTGTGTCTCCCTCTCTCTCTGCCCCTCCCCTGCTGGCGCTCTGTCTCTCTCTAAATAAATAAACATTAAACATTTTTTTTTAAATAAATAACTATGAATTGAACAAAACCGTGAACGAAACGAATGAGTGAATGGGTTTCAGCCCTGCCTGCAATCCTACAAGGTAACATTCTCCATATTCTTCCATGCTCTGCTTATCTTTATTGCTCCCTCCTCCGAACCCTGCACCACACACACAAATGCACATATAACATGGAGGCTCTTTTTCCTCAAAAGAAAAAAAAAAAGGAATCATGTCACAGGCATGAATCAGCAAGTTGCTTTATTGCTGAACAATAGATAGTGTGCCTCCCAGATCAATACAGGGAGATCTACCTAATTCTTCGTAATGACCCATGATGTTCCATAATACTGAATGTGCCAGAATTGATTCTATTATTCACCTATTGGTAAAGTAATGTTTCCAATTATTGCCAGGGCAGACGACACACCAATAAATATCTTGGCACACATATCCTAGCATTCTGGCCATTTCGTTTGTACCAGGATAGATTCCTGAAGGTCAAGGGGACCGAGCGTTTATCGTTTGAACAGACACCAGGGCTGACCTTAGTTAAGACGATGCAGAGAAAGGTGATCCTAGCCCATGGCAGCCGGGCTGTAAGGGAAGAAAACCGGTAGCTGAGCCTCTCACATGGCCACTTCCCCAGCTCTCTCCCAGCCGTGCAGGGCACACGCGATGAATTATTCCCTGGGGATGCAAAGAAAACTAGGATGTGGTCCCTGCTCTGGAAAAATCCCAGAGTCCAACAGAAGGGAGCAGAGAAGAACCATCATGTACTGAACTCCCTCGGGGCACCAGGTTTTGTTCTAGGTGCTTCCATACACAGGACGCTTTGCTCAGTCCTCAAATTCTGCCAGGCAGGAAAGAGGATTTCAATTGTCCAGCACAAGAAACTTCCTGGGGGCCAGGAAAGGGGTGTGCCTTGCCCAGGGTCAAACAGCCAGCAAGTGAGAAAGCTGGGATTTGAACTTGAGTCTGGCTGACCCCAAAACCACCTTCCAGTGCACCACCGCACTTGACCTTGGCTGGCTTCGAATCAACCACAGGTGCCGGTCCCAAGCCTAGAGGGCCTGATGCAATGGGTCTGAGGCATGGTCCCCTTGTGGCTTGAAAGCCAAGAGGTTCCAATGTGCAGCCAAGGCTGAAAACAGCTACACGTCACCCGTGATTCTCGCCCATGGTGCATGCATCCCACTCACCTGGAGGGCTTGTCAGGGGTCAGCTGCTGGCCCCCAACTGCAGTGTCTAATGCAGGGGGCCCTGGAAGGGGCGGGGTGGGCAGGACATACACTTCTGAGCAGCTCCTACTGGTCGGGATCCTTGCTGAGAAAACCATGCTGAACACCATGGACCTGTGATCTTTCCTCCCTGTTGTAAAATAGGGACACGAAGAATCACAGAGCAGACCATATGCAGCACGGGCCCAGCCAGCACAGGCGGCCATTAGAGGTTTTCAGATGGTCTCACCTCTCGGCTTTCTCTGAGGTTTTCAAGACTAAGAGAGTGTCATTCGTGGGTCCTCAGCACCCAAAACAGCCCAATCTGACCGTTTCCTTCCTGCCTGGTGTTTGCCATGTGTCTCCTGGGCCTGCCTGTAATCTGAAGAAAGCCCTGGCTTCCCCCCATTCCCCCCCACCTCCACCTAATCCCTCCATCAACACATACATACACACCAAAAGCTGTGGTCGCTGCGATTCTGAAACATTGAAACTCCAGGATGACAGACAGCCCCCTGCAACATGAGGCGTGTTCTCATTTTATTGCATTTCTGGGGCCAGGGGGCTGCTCCTGCAGAACTCACAGCTGCCAGCCAGCTCCGGGAAGTTCATCCCTGTGGATTCCTCGGCAAAAAAAAAAAAAAAAAAAAAGAAAAGAAAAAAAAGCCAAGCTTCAATGGGCAGAAAAGACACTCGGAGGTCGTCTGGGCCATCCCCAGCATCTCCCACCTCCTGGCAGGGCGCCGCAGACAAGGCTTCCCGGCTGCCTGGACACGCAGAGGAAAGCGGTCCTCTAGCGCCCCCTGCTGGCGGAGTGGGGAGTGGCTGAGAAGCCAGGGCAGCTTTTCCAGAATTGCAGCAACTTCCAAGGTTGTTAGCTCTCCCTGCCTTCTCTCCTAAGATGCAAATTCCCCCCGGAAGGGGCTTCTGTCTTTCCAGAACAACCTTCTGTACCGGCAACATGCCATGTTCACATTCATATCTCCAGCCAGTAGCTACATTACTATCTCTAAGAGGTAGCAAGACGTTCTCATTCACCAGCCATTTGCTGGATCTACAGGGAGTCCGCTGAGAATATAAAGGAAATTGCTCACGCTTTGGAGGCTTTCACAGTCTAACCTGTGGGTCAGCAAACTACAGCCCACCGGCCAAATCTAGCCCGCTGTGTTTTTGTGCAACCACCTGTAAGTATGGTTTTTACATTTCTCGATTGTTTTAAAAATCCAAAGAGTACCCTTATCTATTATGATGAGCACTGAGAAATATATAGAATTGTTGAATCACTATATTGTACACTTGAAACTAATGTAACACTGTATGTCAACTATACTGGAATCAAAATTAAAAACGTAATTAAAAAAAAAATCTAAAGAATATTTTGTGACACGTGAAAGAAGCTCAGAGAGGTCACTCGACTTACCCAAGGCCACACAGCTACGAGGCAGCAGAGCCGGGTTCAAACGCGGAACTGTCTGACTCCGAAACTCACGTTTATTCTACAAGGCAGCTTCTGGACTCACGCACAATCCCAGCACCTTGTGCCGCTTACAGAGGAGAAAACGTGGCTCATAGAGCTCAGGTGGCCTGTTCAAATGGCACTCGGCCAGGGAGTGGAGAGGAGGGACTTGAGCCCTGGCATGGGCCTGCAAACCCAGCGTTCCACTCTACACCGCATCGGCTGACTCTGGACTACACTGATTCTCTGGAGCCGTGAGGCATGTAGCAGCACCGAGAGGAAAAGAAGTAACACATTTCACGTTTTTCTGCAGAAGTTACTCTTCTGCAAAATGAGTAGCACTCTTCTGTGCAGCGGTGTTTACAGGGTCCTCTAAGGAAGGCGCCCGGGGCTGCAGGGGCGTTGAGAATAAGGACGCTGAACAGCACAGCCAGAACACTCCCGCTTTTCTGTTATACATTTGAGGAGCGACATAGGGTTTCATGTGGAAAAATCAGCCGTGCGGTCAAGGAAATAAAGCTTGCAAACAAGTGCTACGTCATCGTGGGCTGGCCCCAATGTCCCAGGGCCGGGTGGGAGTACGTGCCACTTAACGGGCCCGGGCCGCCCCTGACCTAGCAGCTTGAACAACAGGGATTTCTCCTGTCCCGTCACAGTCCTGGAGGTTGGGAGTCCAGGAGCAAGGTGTCAGGCAGGCTGGTTTCTTCTGTGGCCTCTCTCTGTGGTGGGCAGACAGCCATGTGCGTGTTTCCATGACATTCTCCTTCTACACGTGTCTATGTCCAAATTTCCTCTTCTTTTTTTTGTTTCTGTTTATTTTTGAGACAGAGAGAGAAAGAGAGAGTATGAGCGGGCAAGAAGCAGAGAGAGAGGGAAACAGAGAATCTGAAGCAAGCTCCAGGATCTGAGCTGTCAGCACAACCCCCGGACGTGGGTCTTGAACTCACGAACCCGCAAGATCAGGACCTGAGTCGCAATGCTCAACCGACTGAGCCACCCAGGTGTCCCCACATTTCCTCTTCCCGCAAGGACAACAATCATACTGAATTAGGGCCCACCCTAGTGATCTCTTGTTACTTAATCACGTCTCTGAAAACCCCACCTCCACAGACAGCCACATTGGGAGGTGCCGGGAGCTAGGACTTCTGCCTATGAATGGGGTGGGGGAGGGGGGCACAATTTAGCCCAGAAAAAAGCATTAGGGCACCTGGCTCCTCTGTCCTACAGAGTCAGGGGCAGGAGGGTCTGCAAGGAAGAAGGCCCAGGGTCCACTCAGAAGGGAGGAGGTAGGGCCCAGCGTGCCCAGCATCCAGACTTGGGCAGACAGGATTTATCACTGCAGTCACCAGGGTAATTGGAAAGAAGCAGGCTGTCAGGGGCAGAGCCCAAGAACAGTATTTCAGCCATGCCCCCCCTGCCCAAGCGCCCGATGCTGCATGAGTTATCACCCGGGGACCCTCAGCCCCCACTCTGGGCCCTGCAGAGGCGAGTATGTTTCCATATGAGGGGCTTTTCAAGGTCACCTATGTGAGCAATCCACCCTGGCCCCCCGGGGGGGTTGGGGGAGGCTGTGCAAGCCTTGCAGGGACTGGACCTCCAGCTTAGCCATGCTCAGCCTCCCCTGCAAGATGCAGCCACCAGGACAGCCCGCCCCACCCCCACTCCCCTCCCCGGCAATTCTGGTTGCAAGGATCTGAGTGTGGGGCTGAGAACCGCTGCACAGACAGCACTCCTCCATGACCCAGCTCCAGATCCCAGCAGAGAACTATCCCCGCCCAGAGAATATTCCAGCTTCAGATCCTGCCTCTCTGTCACTCTCTCATCACAAGCAGGAGCCACATGAAAAAGTGTCTCCAGCTGCCCTGCTGGCTTCCCATCCTAGCCCTGGACTTGGACCTGGACCCCAACCCCACCCGGCCTCTCCCTTCTCATCCCTTCCCCCCACCAAGCTACCATTTCACGGTCATCCGGCTCCCAGGCCTGGATCCTTGTGCTGCTGGATCCAAATGACCCCTCAGAGAAGACACCTCATCAGAGCCCTTTGCCCTGATGGGTCACGGAGAAGATTTGGGATGGGGATCAGGACGAGGTGGGGACTGGTATGGGTCGAAGAGGGTCCCCCACCAAAATTCAGGTCCACCTGGAACCTTAGAATGTGACCTGATTTGGAAATAGCATCTTCACAGGTGCAAGAGTTGAGATGAGACCTAAATTGAGGAGAGAGGCCTAAATCCAATGACAGGTGTCTGTATAAGACGGGAGGTCGAACAGAGTCATGGGGAGAGCTGGGGTGGGGTAGCTACAAGCCAAGACACCAGGGGCTGGGGGCACGAACCAGGAGCTGGCGGGTTGGAGCCAGAGTCCTGGGAGGGAGGACGCCCTGTGGAGACACTCTGGCCCCCAGACCAGTAGAGAATAACTTCCGGAGGTTTAAGCCACCCAATGCCTGGTCTTTTGTTCAGGCCACCCCAGGAAACGGATGCAGGGCAAAAAGGACACCCAAATGGATCTCCAACAAAGCCAGCCTCAGACTTCTAGGAGCCACGGGGTAGGTAGGCAGCTGGCCCGGAGCAACTGGCCTGCCTGGGACCAAGAGCTACCAGGGAGCCCCACAGGCACACACACAGACATACAATTCCGAGGAATCCAGGTGTCCAAATGTGGGGCGCCCCGGGACTCGGGAGCTGGGAGATTTGCACAGGGCATCCAGACGCCATTCACTTAACATCAGCGTCTCTTCATCCCTGAAGTGGGGTGTGAGCCTGGGCCGTGTCAAGTGTGGTGCGGAGGGGAGGCTCTGGGACAGGGGAGGGGAGGGGGGCAGGGGTAGGCTGGGAGGGTGGGGTCAGGATTTGATCCAAGGTCACTCTGGGACAGAGCCTTTTCCCACGTCACCGCCCCAGCCTAGCCTTAAATGCCTGGCTGTTCTGTTCCTGTCTGTGACATGTGGACGCTTGGTCCCCGGAATTTACTTTGAGGACTTTAATAAAAAGGGGATCTTCCATGAGCTCCAACCGATATCCCCCAGGTTACTCTTTCTTCCCCAGCAAATTACACAGAAAAACAGCATGAAGTTCGATTCTTGAACATTCCATACACCTGTCCTGTTGGAGAAGGGTTTCAGACGGGAACACAATGACCTACACTTGCATGAGGACCACACCGAAGATGAGAAAATGCAGAAATTCCTAAACAGGCCGTGGAAACCCTGTCAATGTAAAGGCCATTAGCCCATACTGACCATGACAGAGGCGTCATCCATCAAATGCCCACGACACACAGTGAGCGCGCTGGGTCCTTCCTGCAAGTGAACGCTGACCCTCAATCCACAGCCTGGTGGGACGTGGGATGGCCCCCCGGGGCAGACAATAAGGGGGCTACCTCGTCTTTGCAGGTAGCATTGAGTTTCTGTTGGAGACAGAGGGGGATTTCAATGTATTACTAAAGTACAGTTGACATACAGTGTTGTATTAGTTTCAGGCGAACAACATAGTGACTCCCCATTCTATACATTACTCAGGGCTCCGCTGAGTTTTTTTTTTTTTTTTTTTAATTTTTTTTTCAACGTTTATTTATTTTTGGGACAGAGAGAGACAGACCATGAACGGGCGAGGGGCAAAGAGAGAGGGAGACACAGAATTGGAAACAGGCTCCAGGCTCTGAGCCATCAGCCCAGAGCCCGACGCGGGGCTCGAACTCACGGACCGCGAGATCGTGACCTGGCTGAAGTCGGACGCTTAACCGACTGCGCCACCCAGGCGCCCCAGGGCTCCGCTGAGTTTTAATAATATATACCTAAACTTCAAATCAGCACATATTTATTACTCACCTTTTAATAAACATCGCATTCTCCAGAAGTTAATTCGGAGAACGCCCAGCTACACAGCCAAACAGACCCGGCTCCGTGTTTGTTTGGAGAGAAAATTCCTGGTCTCTGGGGGCCCTCGGCGTTCCGTCAGGGGACAATACACATCTCCAACACCCGCGTGGCGCTCAGTGTCCCTGGGTGCGAGCAGCAGAGTCAACACGCTCAAGGAGGGCACAGTGACAGGGAGACAGAGCTGGACTTACTCCCATTCTGTCACTCTGTGTTTACAGCTTAGGACCTCGAAATGGTGGGACCTGCGCGGTGAGCTCTTTTTGCTCGGCAAGTGCAAG